CTAATCATCTGGGCTTTGCCTGCGCTGAACTTGGTGCAATTTGAATTTCTTACCAACTTGGATACAATATTTAATTAACTTGATTTTATTTGTAAATAAAAGTGGTTGGCATTTAATAACTGAAACGAAGTGTGTAAGTGGTAACTCGTGAATATGGAAACACTGCAGAATTATAAGCTGGCGGCTGCACAATGTGATGGAAATTAATTATTCAGGGAAGTTCCTGCTCTGTAATAATAGTCTGTGAGGATCTGTCAATATAATTTGCGATCAGCTGTCGCTTGTTATTATGGCTAATGAATTCAGGTGCAAATTGAATTGGCTGTCTTTAAGCTGCTAGTTAGCAGCAGGCGTGTGGTGAGGAGGGCGGGAAAATCAGGCCTAAGACCGAACTGTCCGCTGGGTGGGTTGGGTCTTTGCTGTGGGGCCTCAGAAGCACCCAAGGTGGGTGGAGCTGGTGAGTCACAGACACTGGGTCTGATACTATCAAAACAGATTCCCACTAACAGTGACCCCGTGTGTGTCAGGGTAGAACTGTGCTCCGTAGGGTTTTCAATGGCTGATTTTCCGGACATAGATCGCCAGACCTTTCCTCCAAGGCACCTCTGGGTGGACTTGAGCCTCCAACCTTCAGTTTGCAGCTGCGTGCATTCTCCGTTTGCACCATCCAGGGCCTCCTGGGTCTGATAGTAGGTCTGCCTTCAGTCTACGAGACTGGCCTGATCTCACCTTAGACCTTTGTGTACGTTTTGTTTTGTTTTAAAACAGGAATGTTAGATACACTTTTCTTAAGACTTTGGAGGATATTTGTTCTCCGTTTACAGCCTCAGCAAAGCTGTCAACAAGAGGAAACTGGACTCAGACCCTTATCTAGAAGTGGCCCCAATCCCCTGTCTTCTACCTGGTGTAGCTGCCCTCTTAGAAACTTAGGCTCCAGTTCTTAGCTAAATCCCGTCACAGTGCTAATTAATACAGGCTTAGTGAGCTGGAGGGATCCTCAGAGGTTATAATGGGTCCCAACACTACTTTTCCTATTTAAAGAAACCCATTACAACTCTTACATTTTCCCACGGGAAGACTGCCCGGTGTACGACTGCTAATGTCTTCTTGCTTTTTTGCAGAAATGGTACCAGTAAGAGTTGCACTAACTTTGGTTATCACATGGGAAAGGACTTAGGACTTAATGAAGGTAGAGACGATCAGAGTCCACGTCTGCTGCCCTTCCTGTGCCCGTTGGGTTCCCTCCTTCACAGGCCCGCGCTAGCTGGTAATGAGTAAACAGCCCCTTCCACGGGGTGCCTTGGGAACACCAGGAGAGGCCCCCCAGCCAGCGATAGCTGTCGTCACCTTGTGTTGTGTTTCCCATAAAGATGGGTTGAAGTCCTAAGCCCTGTACCTGTGAATGTGAGCTTGTCACCTCACTGTTACGCTTTTCTAGAACTCCCATTCTTCCTCAAGGGCTCAGCTTCTTGGCGCCTCGCTGGATAGGCTCTTGATCTCTGCCCCCCCTGAACCACCTACTCCCAGGACCACAGCCTAGACTTTGGTGTTACCCAAAACTCCCTCCATAATTTTAATTCTAAATCTCCCACTTTGACCACAACTTTGTATCTTTTTAGCTCATTCCTGCAAGCCAGAAAAGTCCAGTCCTTCAATCCCAGTGGAATTGAATATTTCATATGCAGGGCTTCCAACTCGTTTGTGCCGGTTTGACCCTCCTGCTGAGAATTTGCATTTCTACCCCAGATATACTGAATCAGAATCTACAGTTTAACAAGATCCCCAGGTGATTCTTATGGATACATAAGAATCATATGTCTTCCTGTCTCTTCAGACCCCTCCCATCTTTTCAATGATCTTCTCTCCATTATGTCCTCACTGCCTCTTTACCAAGGAGCCCTGGTGGCCCAACGGGTAAGTACTTAGCTGCTATCTGAAAGGTTGATGGTTTGAACCTACCCAGCAACTCTGTGGAAGAAAGACCTGGTTATCTTTCATAAAGATTACAGCCTAGGAAACTCTATGGGGGGTAGTTCTCCTGTGTCACATGGGGTCGCTATGAGTCGGAGTGGACTCCACGGCATCCAACAACAACATCCTCCTTCCTAGTTTCAATTCTGTCAGTGTAAGTACCCTTCACCTGCAAAAACCTCAACCTTGTTTGAACCCAGTGTTCCCTCTCCTTCACTCGGCTGTCCTGTGATGAGGGGAAAATCAACAAGCAATTAAGCTGGCTGGCCTCGCTTTCAAGTTATGACTGCTCACCTCACGTGGGCCCTACCTTCTCCCTGGTGACCCTACTCTGCTTGCCCGCTTTCCTTCACGGCCCTGTTACACCTTCTCCTCTCTCCATGAATCTCCTCCAGCTCCTCTGCGTTTTCACTTTCCTTTGGTCTGTACCCACACTCTTGCTTCTTATCTCAGATAACTCTTTCTCCTCTTGGCTTATAACACCACACCATGCCTGTGTCCCCCACCTCCCAGCTGCCCCTTCTCAGTCTCTTTCCCTGTCCTCTCCTTGCCAGCCCCTTCCCAGGGCTCCTTCTCTACACGCTCTCCCTCAGTGGTCTCTTTCAATCTGATGGCTTCTGGAACTAACTATCTAGTGTTTACACCCCCGCCTAGACCACAGCCCTCAATCAGACACATATATTCAACTTTCTGTGTGCTGGGTCCACCTGAATGTTCAATGTTCATCTTAAAGTTACAGTCCAAGAGGAAACTCCTGCTCCCTCTACCAGCCCTCCAAGCTCCTTCTCTCCTAGCCCTCCCATCTCAGGAGGTAGTGACTCCATCCTTCAGTCTCTCCTCTAAAATCCTTGGATTCATTATTTACTCATTCCTTTCTCTCACACTTCACATCCAGTCTTTCAGCAAATCCTATTGACTCTAACAACCTATACACCCACTTCTCACTTATCAACATGGTTGGGCTCCAAAGGCCAGGTCATTATGCAAAAGTGGAGGATGACGACATCAGGTCACAAAATGGAGGATAACTACATCATTGCAGAACTGCCAAGTTACATCATTATATAACTGCCAAATTACATCATTACATAACCACCAAATTACATCATTACGTAACTGCCAGACCACTGAGAATCATGGCTCAGCCAAGCTGACACATAACCTCAACCATTACAGCCAGCGTTACTCTTGCCTCGCACCTCAGTTTTCCTCACTGCCATACGTACGTCGTTAATGTGCAGAATAGTCAGATAGTGGGTTTTGTACTCTTGTAAAAGTCTCTGGGTAGGTTTGAACTGCCAACCTTTTGGCTAGTAGTCAAGCGCTTGGCTGTTTGAGCTACTCAGGGTCTCCCCCACCCCTGGTAACCACTGATAAATCCTTGGTTTCTATATATTTGCTTGTTTCATATAAATGAGATCATACCACATTTGTCCTTTTGTGACTGGCTTATTTCATTCAGTGTGATGTTTTCAAGGTTCAGCCATGTAGTGGCGTGCATCAGAACTTCATTTCTGTTTATGGCTGAGTAGTATTCCACTGTGTGTATACACTACATTTTGTTTATCCACTCATCTGTTATTAAACATTTTGGCTGTTTCCACCTTTTGGCTGTTGGGTAAAGTGCTTCAGTGACCATTGGTGCAGAGGTTTCTGTTTGTGTGCCTGTTTTCATTTCTTCTGAGTATATACCTAGGATTAGGATTGCTGGGTCACATGGGAGTTCTATGTTTAACTTTTTGAGGAACCACCGCACTGCTTTCCACAATGGCTGCACCATTCCACATTCCCACCAGCAGTGAATGCGGGTTCCGGTTTCTCCCCAAGCTCGCCAACACCTAATGTTTTCCAGCTTTGATCATTGCCATTCTAATGGGGGTAACGCAGTGTCTCATTGTGGTTTTGATGTGCGTAGCCGCAATCCACTTGAAGGCAACATGTTTTTCATTGCCTAATGAAGGCACCCTGGTGGCACAGTGGTTAAGTGTTTAGCTCCTAACCAAAGGTCGGCAGTTTGAACCCACCAGCCACTCTGTGGGAGAAAGACATGGGAGTCTACTTCCATAAAAATTACAGCCTTGGAAACCCTGTGGGGCAGTTCTACTCTGTCCTGTAGGGTTGCTGTGAGTCGGAATGAACCTGATGGCACTCAACAACAATGGCTAATGACATTGAGCATCTTTCCGTGTTCTCGTTGGCCATTTGATTATCCTCTTTGGTGAAGTGTCTGTTCAAGTCCTTTGCCCATTTTTTGATTAGATTGTCTTTATGTTGTTAAGCTGTACAAGTATTTTGTATATTTTGTATATTAGACCCTTATTGGATATATGGTTCCCCTAAATTTTCTCCTGCACTGTAGGTTGTCTTTCTCCTGGATTATTGCATTATTCCCCATTGCTTATTCCATAGCCAGAATGATCCTGCTAAAAATATAATTCAGTTTTTAGCTCAGAACCCTTTAATAGCTCCCTACTGGAGTAAAAGCCTAAATTTTCACAATAGCCTACAAGGTTCCTCATGATCTAGCCTTCTGTGACTTCTCTATCCTCTGTCTTATTTCACTGAAGCCACACTGGCCTCCGGTTCTCAAACCCAGCCAGCCTGCTTCACCCCCAGGCCTTTGCACTTGCCACGTGTTTAGCCTTCACAGCTCTTTGCCCAGATCCCATGAAACTCCCTCCCTTCCTTCCTTCAAAATCTGCTCAAGTGCCACCTTATCAGTGGCCACCTGCCACCCTGTATAAAATAGCAGTCTGCTCCCTGCCCCCAGGACTCGCTGATCAGCTCACTCTGCTTTATCTTTCTGCACAACACTTGTCTGGCATAGCTGATGTGTGTTGGTTTTCTGTACCCTTCCAGTGGGATGTGAGTTCCCTGAGGGATGGGACCTTGATCTGTTGTGTTCACGGTTGTATTCGTCAGACCCAGAGCAGAGCTGTGTTGCTAGTTGTTGCCGAGTCAGTTGTGACTCACGGCAGCCCCGTTTGTGCAGAGTAGAACTGCTCCATACGGTTTTCATGGCTGTGACCTTTTGGAAGCAGATCACCAGGGCTGTCTTCCGAGGCACCCCTGGGTGGGTTTGAATCACCAACCTTTCAACTAGTAGTCGAGTGCTTAACTGTGTATCCAGTGACCTGGCAATAACGAATGTTCAAAGCAAAGGAACCTGTTGAACGAAGAAGTGAAGTGGTAAGATTCAGACATGTGTCTGATGTCAAAGTCTGGGCTGGCGGGAAGTGCGAGTGCTGTCAGGCAGAGAAGTGGACAGCAGGCGCGCTGTCTGATACCGGTTGTAGGAGGTGGTGTTAGTTGCCAGCAACTCCATTCAGACTTATGGCGACCCCATGTGTTACAGAGTAGAACTGCTCCATAGGGGCTTCTTGGCTGTGATCTTAAGGAAGCAGATCTCTAGGCCTATCTTCCGCGATACCTGCTGAGTGGGTTCGAACCATCAACCTTCACGTTAGCAGTTGAGCACAAATCATTTGCGCCACCTGGGCACCTTGCTGATTTAGGGTGCAGGCCTACAAATATCATGGTGCCTTGCCTTTAGAAGTCTCTCGACATATTTTTGTTAATTTGAGTGGCCTTTTCTCCTCCACACAGCCAGTGTAAAGGGGTAGCTGGACCCCTAGTGGCGCAGTGGTTAAGAGCTCGGCTGCTAACCAAAAGGTCGGCAGGTCAAATGCACCAGCTGCTCCTTGGAAACCCTATGGGGCAGTTCTCCCCTGTCCTGTAGGGTCGCTATGAGTCGGAATTGACTCAGCGGCAATGGGTTTTATTTTTAGGGCACTGGAGCCCCACTCGCTGAGGACAGGTCCTCAGGCAGCAGAGCCCCGGTCTAGTGTGACGTCACGAGAGGCTGTGTGATGTCACAATGGCAAGGGGCAGGCCTGAGGCTGGTTCCATTCTTACTTGCTGTGGGAGGCGCAAGGACCAAGGTGGTCAATTTCTGGTTTTATCAAAAAGTTGTTCTCCGTTTGGAGTGTAACTGCGGCCAACAGTAAGGCTGAGGGGACTCAGCCAGCAACATGTTGAACGAGTAAGTCCCACCAAGCCGTGCAGGCCAGTCTGTTGGGGACCTCAGCGGTCTCTCTCTCTCTCTCTCTCTCTCTGATTACAGGATTCACTCCCTAAACTTGGCTGCATTTATTACCCGCTGACAAACCATTACCTTCACTAGCCAACTGTGAGGTCCTGAGTGTGTTGGATACGCTGTTTTCCAGGTTCGTCTGATACCTTCGTTCATCCATAAACTGCTACAATGAAATATGAACCAGAATTTAAAAAGTCCCCATCACATCTGCTGAAGAAATTTGCAGGTAAAGTATAAACACAAGCACTTTGCAGGGGTAGGGGCAAGGAGGGTCCTGTTTTCAAGCAAGGCATTGACAGTCAACTTCATCAGGCTTAGACTGGGAAGGAAGACAAAGAAACTGTGTTTTTAAAACAGCGTAGGAAAATGCTGCCAAGTCTTCATTTTCTTAAGTTTCATTACCAAAAACACCGGAACCTTAGGTTTTCAGCATAAGAAATATATTTAACTATTTCCTAGATGGTTAAGGGATCAAAGGCACTTTCCTCTCTGAAGTGCCAAACACACACTTTAACTACTTCATGCTTTTTATGGCAAGACTTTTTTTTTAATTAAGAAGAAATATTTCTCAACAATAAAATGCACCCTTCTCTTTCCCGTCCCAAGTGACCATGGTCTGAAATTGGATACTTATACCTGGTTATTGGGAGCCCTGGTGGCACAGTGGTTAAGCATTTGGCTGCTAACCAAAAGGTCAGCAGTTCGAATCCACCAGGTGCTCCTTGGAAACCCTATGGGACAGTTCTACTCTGTCCTCTAGGGTTGCTATGAGTCGGAATTGACTCGATGGCAGTGGGTTTGATTTTGGTTTGGTTTTACCTGGGTACTAAAGGAAACTTAATTTTGAAATGTGACTTTCTTGAAGGTACATTGTTAGTATGTATATGTAGTATTAATTGCATTTACTTAAAATCGTGCTAGGAAAAAATGCAGAGGTACGTGCTCCACGGGGAGGAGAGGGCCAAGGGGACTGAGCGAGAAGAGGGAACGATCACCTTCTCGTGGGTGTATTTGTGTGTTCCTTTGCAGGTGAGCCCCTGTTCATGCATCACTTTAGTTACAAACAAAATACAAGAAAATGGAAGAAGGGGAGAAGCAATTTGATTTTCTTCTTTTATTTGTCTGTTTTCCTTGAAACTTAGACCCAGGAAGTATTTCCCAGACTGGTCTGCATTCCACAAGACGTATTTTAATTCCTACAAGTGATTTGGAACCTCTTCTACAGCAGGGTTTGAGTCATAGCTCTGGAATCCTGGTATGTGGTTGAGGGAAACGGAAGCCTGGGAAGGAGACAGAGCTTGCGTGCGAAGCACTCTCGTTGTTCTCCCAGCCCTTCCCCAGGCATGATGTCATTGAGTCTTCACCGCACCCCTCGGGGGGAAGGCAGGGTGCCTTCTTGCCACTTGACAGGAAAGGCAATGGCAAGTTAAGGGAATCTTGCTCTTGTGGTTCCCGAACTGGTGAGTGGCAGAGCCCAAACTTGAAAGTAGGTCCTTCAAAGGACTCCAAAGAGGCGTGTTTATGGTGTTTGATCCAGAGTGCATACATACGCAGCTAGGGTGGTGGGTGCCTGTACTTGGGAGGTAGCTCTGGGCAGCAGAACAGGGTCGTGGAACGGATGTTCTGAGTGTGGCAGACTTGCCATACCTCAATTCTAGCAAGATTCCCGGTGTTGTTGTTGATGTTATTTTCTGTCGCGTCAACGCCAACTCATGGCGACCTTACGTATAACAGAATGAAACGTTGCCCGGCCCCACGCCATCTTCATGATTGTTGCTATGTTTGGGTTCATTGTCGAGACTATTGTGTCAGTCCCTCTCGTGGAGGATTTCCCTCCTTTTTGCAGATCCTCTGCTTTACTAACCATGATGTCCTTCTCTAGACACTGTCTTTCCTGATGACATGTCCAAAGTAAGTGAGCCAGAGTCTGGCCATCCTTGCTGCTGTGGAGCATGCTGGTTGCGTTTCTTCTCAGACTGATGTGTTTGTTCTTTTGGCCATCCACAGTATATTCGCTATTCTACGCCAACACCCCAGTTCGAATTCACCAGTTCTTCAGTCTCCTTTTGTCATTGTCCAGCTTTCTCATGCATACGAAGAGATTGAAAAGACCATGGCTTGGGTCAGGTGCACCATAGTCCTCAAAGTGACATCTTTGCTTTTTAAGACTTTAAAGAGGTCTTTTGCAGCAGATTTGCCCACTGCAATGCGTCGTTTGATTTCTTGACTGCTGCTTCCGTGGACGTCGATTGTTGATCCAAGTAGAATGAAATCCTTGACAACTTCAGTTTTTTCTCAGTTTATTATGATGTTATTTATCAGTCCATTCGTGAGGATTTTCATTTTCCTCGTGTTCAGCCAGCGCATCAGATTGAGAGAGAAGTTCGTTCTCCCCATAGAGTGGGCAGGCTTCTCTTGGCCCCTTGCTTCAGGGCAGTGAGCAATAAAGGCTGCTGTGGGCCCATCAGGACCCACTGGTGCTGTGGGGGGACCCGCTCTCCCCTGTCTGCAGGTTGGAGTGGGGGAACAGTGTCCCTTTCCTCTGTGTGAGGTGAGGCAGGGGAGCTGCTGGAGTCTGGTCCTCATGCACGTGAACCTGGCTCCGAGTGGGATCGTCAGGGCCAGGTGCGGGCCAGCCAGGAGCCTCTCGTCCAGGGTGTGAGGGGCCCTGTGTGGGGGCTGGCGCCATCTCAGCTGTATCCTCAAGGTAAGCTGGGGGGCACACCCTGAGCTGGCTCTTCTGGGGCTTGGAGGGGAGGCGTTTTCCCTCTTGAAGTTTATCTGCAGCAGGGCCGCGCTTTCCGTGTGTTTAAAGAGGATACTCCTGCGTTTTGCCCTTATTCTTGCTATTTTTCCAGTTTGGAGGATGATGAATGTAGGAGTATTAAGATACTGTCTTTATTTTCCTCTGTAGATGTTGGAGTGGCTGTTTCATTTTGTATTTTCGTATTTTTAAGGCTTGTCGGTAAACAGTTGGGTTACAGAGGTTAGTTTTCTCGGCACTTCTTGGTCCTGTCATATTTTAACCCTTGGCCTTTGATGGCTCAGGTTTTTGTGTTGTTGACAGGCGCCCCCTGGTGGACACTGGTGACAATTGTCCCAGGTTCAGAGCTGTACGGACAAGGTGAAAGCGGATGTCCCAGGCCGGGTCACCCTACCCCTGGAGGCCTGTGTGGGTCACCAGAGCATGGCACCGGTGAAGATCTGCCAGGTCTCCCGGCAGAGTTCAGTCATCTAGCGTCACGATCTGTCCTTCCCGTGCCCGCCTTCACAGCGTGAGTTCAGATCCTCAGAGCCCACCTCTCCTATCCTAACAGCCTCCGCATGCACTGCTGGGCGCCCGTCTGTCCCTGTCCCTTCTGTTCTCCGCGAAACAGCCTCAGAGGGATCCCCTTCTTCACAAACCTTCAAGCACTCTGAAGAGCTTCCAGGAAGAGGCTCAAACTCAGCACATAAGACTCTTCACGAGCTGGCATCTGCCTCACCAGCTACCTACAAACACACAGCCCTTTTCCAGCCACACACGACTTGCAGCTTCTCAGACATATGGAGACCTCATGCACCTCCATGCCTTTGCCCATGTGGGGTCCCCTACCCCCTACTTCCTACCCATCTTGCCACATTCAGCGAAATCATGGATGGATGCCATCCCCGACACTTCTTCCCAGCCGCTGGCCCTGCTCCTCCTCCCTTCTTCTGTGTCCACGTATCACACTTGGCTGAGTTCCAGGTCTCTCTCCCATATAGACTGTACTGTTACTTGGCAGCAGGGACTGTGTCTTGCTCCGTGGTGTAATATTAATGCCTAGCACAGCCCTGGTGGCCCAGTGGTTAAGAGCTTTGCTGCTAATCAGAAGGCTGGCAGTTCGAATCCACCAACCGCTCCTTAGAAACCCTATGGGGAAGTTCTACTCTGTCCTATAGGGTTGCTATGAATCGGAATCCACTCGACGGCAACGAGTTTGGTTTTTTTGAACTCTGGTAAGGAACCCTGGTGGCGCAGTGGTTAAGTGCTTGGCTGCTAACTGAAAGGTAGAATCCACCAGTCGCTCCTTAAAAACCCTATGGGTCAGTGCTGCTATGTCCTGTAGGGTCACTGTGAGTCGGAATTGACTTGACGACAGCGGGTTTGGTCTAGCACAGCCCTACCCAGAGTAGGTGGTGTGTGAATGAATGTATAAAACAATGAATGAATGAGTGAATGAATGAATGACCAGAAGCCTCCCTGAAAAAGAGCAGTGTGCTGAGGACGCCCCCCAGATCACTTCACGTTGGGTTGCCCCAGGGCTTGGCTGGGGGCTGTGGACCTGGACACAGGAAACATAGCTGAGGGGACTTGGTTGTGCCCAGCACCATCTTTGGAGGTCAGGGTTCTTATTTCATCCGCTTCTCCACTCCCCGTTTGTGGCACGTGCCTGGCGTTGGGTAGGTGCTTCACAGACGTTTGCAGAATGAGCAGTGTTGGCTGAGGGCTCTCAGACAGGCCAGTGGGCTCTAGGTTTGACCGAGACATTCACAGATGTTTGCAGAATGAGCACTGTTGGCTGAGGGCTCTCAGACAGGCCAGTGGGCTCTAGGTTTGACCGAGACATTCATAGATGTTTGTAGAATGAGCAGTGTTGGCTGAGGGCTC